AAGGACTTAAGTAGGTCTTGAATCCAGGATCATATGACTCAGAGGACAGAATGCAACTACACTGTGCTACTAACCATGAATTTCATGTATAAATGGACTTAGTGAACTACAGTAACAGAGCCACTGCAGAGAAATTTATTAAGCAATTCAATTTTTGCTACTGTTTCAATTTATTGCATTTTAGTATTGGCGTACATAAATTACCTCAGTAATGCCAACAAGACAACACAGAAAGTCAAGGACAAATAACTCAAAATTCATCTCACTTAATATCAATGTTCCCTGGAAACAGTATAGTGCAGCTGTTCCATCTGGAAATATAGGCAGACATTTTCTTACAAACTTTAGGACCTATTTTTGGGTCTTTTTCTAAAAAACCCAACAAATTTCCATAATTGTCTTAGACCAAGATTTTGTCAATCAGCAATTCACCTACCGCTGCAGGCTCAGCATAATCTTCCCTAGCATGGTGAAAATAACATTGTCTAACCAGGAAAGGCATCAATGTCCATAAAGCACCTCCAAAGTGAATTTCAACATCAAGCAAATTTTGAATTACTACTTCAAACACTACCTGCAAAATTCATCTGGTTCAAGAGGGAGAAAAAGTGATCTGCTTAACATGTTCCAAAGACAAGCAATTTTAATGTGTCAACTACTTCCATTTTTTTTGCTCACAATCACTACATATAGCCTAAAACACATTCATAGCTGGTTATAGCCTAGCCACAACCAAATTTTGTTAGCAACTAAGTCACAGACAAGAAACATTAACATAAAATAAAAATCCTAAAAATAAAACCAGAAAGAAAAGCAAGTTAAAAATCCAATTAATTTGAATGCCTTTTTTCATGGAAAAATTGTAATTGCTTAAATTGAATCAGAATAATTTTGAAAGAGACCAAAAGATTCAGCAGTTTCCTCAGGCACCATTTGTTTTCAACAGATCACAATTGCTATGGTAACATCATGTGCCTCAGTAATAAAGTCTGAGATGATCCATGACACATGAAAGAAAGATGTCCAAACTCTGACAATCATCCTTGAAGCACCAGGCACAATGTCATGCAAAATGGCACCAACTTTCAGTTGTGAATTGCCATGTATAAAAGCAGATTTTGTCACTGGTTAAAAATTTAGCTGATTAACCAAAAATAGTACAACTGGAAGCAGCTATTTAAGTACTTCATGCAACCTAAAATGAGTACCAAACAGCTATCAAGCAAGACATGGGACATCAATATTTCTTTTGAAAGAAAACAATTCAATAAATATTTTGCTCAGTTAGTAATGGGTTAGATATTTAGTACTATCTACCCCATATTGCAGAATGCTTTTTGTTAAACCAATGTCATTGAAACTACTACACCAACAACATGCTTGATGAACAGTGCCACTCCTCCACCTTTATCTAGCTTCCTATTCTTCCTCAATGTCATACACCCTTCAATATTGAGAGCCCAATCCTCGTCATCACTCAAGTCTTTGAACCGATACCCATTTCACTAATTTTGCGACCTCAGCCAACTGGGAGGTGGCTCAGATAACCATTCAAAAATTATTACCCTTGAACTTCTGTACTTCAATTTGGTGCCTCAACTCCTGCATTGTCTAAGGAGAATTTTTTTCCTTGCTCTATGTTTGCAAACAGTACAGAGATGCACCACAACAGGTGGTGAATTATTTCATTACTACAAAAAGAACTAATTTCAACCAACATAAAATCTGATGTGATGCATAGTGTTTAGACATTCAAAATTAACAGAAATTCTAGATATATTCCTGTGCAGTGTTACTGGGATGACAGTAACTTATTAAGCCAAGAGATACACACTCAGATTACAAAGGGTATCTGCAGAAATGTTCAAAGAAAAAAATCGCTAAATAAGTTGAAATGAAAATATTTCAAGTAATCGGGACAGAACACACACATTTTCGAAATAATGGCAGATAAAGATGGCAAGTTTCCATTTAAACATTCAACAACCATTATCTAAGGTCTAAAACAGATTAATTCAGCATCATTGTCATAGTTTGTGAAAACGCTATACAAATATAGATCAATAACTAATCAAGGTTAGAGATCATACATGAGAAAAATGGAGTTCCATCCATTTAAACAATAACTGCAAGAACTAATTGTCCCCTGTATTCCAACATCAATTATTTTTAAATCTTTAAGCTTAACCTTATATTAAAAGATGTGTATGTAAGTATTTAAATGATTGATAATACAGCAGCATATAGACAGACCAGAGTTCTGCACAGAGAAATGGCAAAAAGAGTTTAATTCAGACAAATGAGGTGATGCATGTGAGATCTCTAATGCAGGAGAGAAGTACACAGTAATGACAGAACCCTGAATATCATCAACATACAGAGGGATCTTAGTGTACAGATCCACAGTTCCCTGAAAGAGGCAAGAGAAGTAAATAAGGTGGTCAAGAAGGCATATGGCATGCTTGCCTTCGTCAGTCAGGCCATAGAGCATAAAAATTGGCAAGTCATTTGCAGCCGTATAGAACTTCAGTCAGGCCATATTTGGAACAGTGTACACAGTTCTGGTCACCACACTACAAGAAGGATGTCACAGAGTCATGGAGTAACACAGCACAGAAACAGACCCTTCGGCCCAACTCATCCATGCTGAAGTTTCCAAAATGAAACTCGTCCCACTTGCCTGCATTTGGCACATATCCCTCTAAACCTCTCCTTTTCATGGACCTGTCTAAATTTCTCTTACATGCTGTATTTGTACCTACATCTACCAATTCCTCTGGCAGTTCGTTCCACACACGTACCACCATCTCTGTGGAAAAAGTTGCCCCTCAGGTCCCTTTTAAATCTTTCTCCTCTCACCTTATAAATAAGGCTCCAAAGTTTCAAACTCCCCCAGCCAATGTAAAAGACATTTGTTATTCACCTTATCTATGCAGAGGCTTTGGAGAGAAGCTACAGAAATGGCTTACCAGATTGTTGCCTGGTTTGAAGGAAACCCGAGAAAAGACTGGACAAACTTGGTTTGTTTTCACTTGAACGAAGGATGAGGGGCAACACGGTACAAGTTTACAAAATTATGACAGGCACAGATAGAAGGGATAGTTGGTCTTTTTTGCAGGATAGAAATGTCAACTACGAGGGGACATGGGTTTAAGGGAAAAAGGGGTATGTTTAAAAGGAGATGCAAGAGCTAGGTTTTTATTTTTACCTAGACGGTGTTAAGTGCCTGGAATGTGCCGCCAGAGGAGACAGATGCAAGAGCAATGATTAAGAGGTATTTTGACAGATACACGAATAGGCAAGGAATAGAATGACACAAACAACATAACAGGCAAAAAATTTTAAATTTAGAAAGGCAACATGTGACAGCACAGCCCTGGTGGGCTGAATGGCCTGTTCCGGAGCTGTATTGTACTGTTCTTTGTAAAGATTAGTGTTCAAGGTTTAATTGTTGCTGGAAAATGGATACATTGTGACACATAAACCAAAGGGTTAACTCATGGAACATGATCCCAGGTTTAACTGAAATTTATAAATTACTAAATCCATTACCTCCAAGAATAAAGTTTTAATAGCCCCTTAAATAAAATAGCATACATACAATCAGTAATCCCATTTAAAGGTTTGTTAAAACTAGAGCGTGTATCTAAGCAAGCAGGAACATTACTACATACAGGAAATAAAGTTATTCAGTCAAAAGCCTCCAGTCAAGAAAATAATAAATTAATAGGTTCATCAAGTCTATTTGCATGTCCCTAACTACCAAACATGCACAATTGCACAGTGGAATACAATTAGTACTTTCAAGTAACTTCAAATAACATACAGAAAAATGTCAAAGTGGAAAATTCTACTGAATAAAACATAAATACGTGTCAGTTCATAAATATCGAAACAAGAGCAAATTCCTGATACAGAATTTACCATATAAAACTGTCAAAAGGTTTTCTATAAATTTACTATAAGCCCATACGACATAGAAGCGGAAGTAGATTATTTAGCCCATCAAGTCTACTCTGCCATTCAATGAAATCATGACTGACCTCAAGTCCACTTTCCTACATTATATCCTCGCTGACTAAAAAGTTGTCTGTCAGTCTTGAATATACTTAATAACCCAGCCATGACTTCAAAACGGACTTAGAACATGAATATAACTTTCCATTATTCCAAACTCACTACACAAAGTAGCAGTATGATTCTGATCTGATCAAAGTTGACCCCCAGGACATGAATACAACATAATCTTCAAGTATGAAGAACAGGCTTGATTTGAAATGATTAATTTTAAATCTACACCACATTAGTGTTCATAATAAAGCATTAGAATTACAATACACAAGTTCACAATACAGTTGCTTCCAGTATGGTCATATGGTCAGTAGTGCAAAGTTGACAAATACAGGAGACACAATTGACAGCAATTACTCCTGCTGTTAATCCTTCCATCTTCAAGTTACAACACTAAATGCTGTAAATTAAGTAACCATATTGCAAATTCAGAAATTCATTTGATGGATTAAGCAAAACAAATCAGATTAAAAATAACTCATTCTCGAATAAAATATATGTCACTAACTTCAAAACTAAAATTCAATATACAAACCAAGAAACAAAATTCTTAATTGTCCACAACATTCCTTTATTTTAATAAAAGTAGAATTCTTTTTCAAAACACAGATCTTACTATAGTTGCTAATACTGCATAGAATCTCTGCATTCATCTTCAAACCTCTCAATTAATATCCAATCTGTATGCATAAGCAGTTAATATATCATAGTCATCCCAAACAATTGCTGGCACAACATTCTGCTGAGAAAATTAACACTTTTCAGATAGCCCATCCAATGGGAGGATTCAGAATTTTTCTACGTGAACTGTACGAAGAAACCCCAACTAAAATCACATTTCTCTACATAAATTAGACAAAATAACATATTTAATAAAACCATGAAGAATTATATATACTGCAGCACTTGACATCATATTTTAGCCTTACCTGAACCACCAAATTGACTGCTTGCCAGTGTAGTTGGTCCATTTTTTCCACTATTAACGGGAGGAGAGAACATCTAAAAAAAAAGCCAAGATTAGAGTAATCTATATGTTAGATTATTATACCAAACACAACTGAACATAGTTAAAGACAGACTCTCCTAATAACAGAACACATATCCTCCGTGATGGACCAGTCAAGAACACAAGCTCCTTGTTTCAAATAATAAGTTTCACTTAAATATTTATAAAAGCAAATCAAACTGGTGTAAATGTATAATTTAACGCAAGTTATTACATCCATTCCTGATTGTAAATTACACAAATGAAATTATCAAAATGAATAATTTCTAGGAAAATGATAAGACTGGACAATTTATAATTTTGAAAGTACACTTGCCACTACCATTTATCTGACAACACTGGTAAGTGTTGATCAATCCATCAATTGAAAATAAAATCAAACTGACCAGAACACGCCAATACTTCAAGCTGCTTTGCACAAGTTTCCTAGCTAACGTGCCTTAAAAATCTATGAGACTCGTCTAGACATAGTGGTAAACTTCAAAAGATTCCTTTTGACTAAGCTGGACGCAGGCAACGCCACATGGCTTTCAAATGATGTGAAAACCGTATTAGTAATAAAGCCTCCAAGCATCATACCGCACTAAAATCCAGCAGATCGCTCAATTCCTTGTCCGTTCCTATAGCGGCCATCCGCTGCTGTGGATTCATCTTGATTTACTCTCAGTAAACCTAAGAACAAAACAGTGACACGATTGACTCAAAACCAATATTAAAAAGAAAATTCTCAGCAGACGCCTTCAAAGTTTGTTAGCGAGGTTAAAAATAACCCAACATAAGGTTCCGACTCACTAACAAGTTAAAAGACTCCAAAGTAGTTATCGTATAAGTAAAAGTCAGCATCAGGTTCCAAAAATACCCGGCTGCCGAAAGAAAATTCGGCCACTCCGAAACACAAGATTACTGTACAAGAAATGACAAGTAAACCGCTAACGTTATTCCACGTAACAAAGACTGTTTAGCCTCAGCTAGCAGAACCAATGTAAATAAAACTACACCAAGCAAATAATTGGTATGTGGTGTAGAACAAGCTCCAGTTTTCTTTTAAATGAACGGGGGGGGGGGGGGGGGAGTTAAAGGGAAGGCAGCAGTAGTCCCTGTTTGATTTGAAATAGTTTAGTATTATGCAGCCGGTTGTCGGTGGTTTAGAGCGGCCAGAGGCACAGCCGAGTCTTGAAAAGGTAGGAGGGGACATTGGCAACCTTTGGAAAATCTCCATCACCCCCTCCTCCTTAAACTCGCGCCTTGTTTACAGACCCAGCCCTCTCCCTCATCGACAAACCCCCATGACACTCAACTCGCCCGAGCCCTGTGTCTCTCTCTCTCGCTGGCGCGCGCACACACACAAGGCCAACTTTTGACGGCTGTCCGCCGAGCCCGCCCTCCCCTCCGCACGTCTGTCCCTCAACCCCTCACTCACCTCGCTCTCCCCCACCCCCTTCCAGCGAACATCCGACTGCCACCAGCGCACACTCGCCGCAGGGTGTGTGTGAGAGAGAGAGAGAGGTTTTAAACTCACTCCCGCTCTCAACACACACCCGTCACCGTCGCCGCCGCTACTCTCCTCCCCCAGCGCTTCGTCTTCCCGGGATCGGCTCGCGTGCTAACGTTGAGCCGGACAAGACAAGACCACTCCACTCTCCTATCTCTATGTCTCCCTTTACTCGGCGCTCTTCCCCCCCCCCCCCGGGCTCGATGATCAGCCCCCCCCCCCCCTCCTGGGGGGGGCATTTTTTTTTTGGGAGGGGGGGGGGGGGAAGATGACCGCGTCACCACGTTCCGGCAGCACGCCGTATCCCTCCGAGCCGTACTCCCTTCAGACCCCATGGTCTGGGGAGGGAAGGGCGCCCCCACCACGACCCCTCACTCTGCCCAAAGGTGCAGGACGATCCAACCATCTATGCAACGTGCATTGTAACTTTCCAACAGATTTCCAGCCTCTGCCTCTTAAGGGATGCGGCGATGGCCAGAAATAAATGATGATACGCGCTGAAGGATCCTTTGTTTGCGCGGCAGGAGGAGGCAGCGGTGAGAGGGCCTGTGTTTTCCTCCTTTGATTGACAGCAGATTGCTGGATGGGTTCGAATTACACACAGGGCCAATTAGATGCTATCTTTCTGCAGTACAGAGACCAAAAAAAAGATATTTCTTTCATCCTCGGGGAAAACGTTGACTGAATATCGTAACGGACGCAAGTGGAATGATCATGTGCAATACAGAGGCAAAAAAAAATGGAAACCTGAAATAAAAACCGAAAATGCTGGAAATGTTCAGAGATAGCAGGAACTGCAGATGCTGGAGAATCTGAGATAACAAGGTATAGAGCTGGATGAACACAGCAGGCCAAGCAGCATCATAGGAGCAGGAAGGCTGACGTTTCGGGCCGAGACCCTTCTTCAGAAAAATGTTTTGGGTCCGTGATCTTTCGTAAGAACTAATGCGTCTTCTAATAGTGCTCTCTCATGCTCAAACACATGCAACGAACCAATGAATCTAATTCGACATTGTTCTTCCGTTATTCAGAGGCCAAAAATTTTCATCCTCGGGGAAAATGTTGACTAAATATTGAAATTGATGCAAGTGAAATGATCGTGTGTAATACTTAAAACAAAAAAGGAAGCCTGAATTAGTTTGTTGTTCAGCGTTTTTGTTTTAACAAACTGCAGATTCTAATAAAAAAGTGACTTAAAGTTTAATTAAATCATATATTGTTGCAAGCCCAAATTGTGGTTTGCTGTGTGAAACAAAGAGCTGTGTGTAGGACGATCAATTACTCATCCAAACTGAACGAAAATCGAATCTTTAGATTTTCCCAGTTCCGACGGAAGTCATTGACCTGAAAGTTCTTTGCTTCTCTCTCTGTAGGTGCTGTCAAACCCCCAAGTCTTTTCAACATTTTGTTTTTATTTCTACATTTTTAGAATTCGATTTGGGTGATGGAAAAAAACACCAGTTTGCCAGTAGCAATTATAAATCATGTAATGAATTAAACAGGACCCAAGTGTTTCATTCTCTGCTTATGTGTTTTTGAACTTAAGACAAAATAACTTCCAATTTTTGCATGTGCCTGGGCCATTGCGACCAACCACTTCTGGTCTGCTGCTTCTGATTCAGCAACTGTCATTCACATCTTTGGACTGACTTTGTTTCTTCATTTATTCTATTCCTTTTTATCTTGCATCATCACTTTTGTCATTTAATCTTTCCTGCCTTCATGGACCTTCCCTTTTGTTCTTGCTTCTTTCCCTGCTGGTTTAAAATTCAGTTCCTCTCTAACTTTCTCCAATGACAAATCAAAGACCTGGCCGTTAGCCTGCTGCCAGACTTGTCGAGTATTTCCAGTTTGTTTTTAATAGTTGATACTTTTTAACATTTCATATTTCAAACATAAGTAATATTTTGCTTTTGTGGACGTGTAACGGACTCCTTCCAAAAGTTATCTGGTTGGAACAAGTTGCTCACAATTGTAATTTTCCAAGAAAAATGCTAGTTAATACAGGCATTAATAAACTCGTGTTGTGAATGCAATTTTTTCCTATTAAGTGATGGGGTTGAATCAGGCTTTTTTATAAGGTCTTGCTCATTTGCTTGCTCAGGCTCTTAAAACAAAACTGTTTATTTGTTCATCACCGGACGCAGTAATCCCCAAGTGATTGGGAAGCGGCGGAAGAGGAGGCGATCGATCGGCACGAAGTTGAAACCGAAAGATTTACGGAGGCCCCATCACAGCTCATGTGAAACGCAACATGTGACCCCTTTAGAGGAACAGCGGACGGCCCAGATTGTGGAGTATACTCGACGGACGTTCAAATCTTAAGAAAGAGCTGAGAAACGCTGCCTTGTTTGTATTTCACACATTGTTTGTCGTCACTGTTTCAATCGAGACGAGCAAGGGGAATAAAATAAACGGAAGTTCGGCACCATGCGGTCTATCCCAAAATCCCCTGCTCTTTAAAACCACAAAAGAGCTTCGGAGTGAGAGAGATGCACATTGTGATCTCGACCGTGGCAGCCAGAGAGCCGCGCCCCCATTCCGATGCTTATCCCCGGTTTCGGGAACTTGGCTTTCATGGGGGCCAGACGCTGCAAGCGGCAGTACGGAAGAAGAAACAAACAAGACACTGGTCGGAAACGGGGACCTCGAAATTCAACATAATAAAAAAAAACTTTAAAATTAATTAAACATTCTTCTGAGAAAAACTCCGCAGTTTTTTTTAAACTTCAGATTTAATGATGCTCCACATCGGCATAGATTGTTTAGTTTACTCAGCAAGTTAAAGCTTTCGGATAGTTCAATCACCGCAATAAATAAATAGAGTATATTCAGATGATCAAACCTGTGACAAATAACGATAACTCCCATTGGAATCCTGATAGAATGGACTTAAGATATAGTTTTCTGTAGCATCATCCGTGATATGAGTGGCAAAGAGCTAACAATTGTTACACTTTCAAAGCTAGGCTTTGAAAATCAGTTTCTGCTAGATGATCCCTCTTTATAATACAGTAGCTACGTAATTTGCCAGTTGCACCACAAAAATAGATAAAGTGTTCCTTTGGAGATAAAGACGTGTCATACCAAGTCACTTCTAACAATAAATAAAGCCTGATTTACAGCAACTCTCCACTGGGTGCCCAGAGGTCATGGCAGGCGCTATATAAAACGAGATTTTTTTTGCCTATCTGAACTCCATACTTAAAAAAAATACATTTGCGTGGAGATTTATGAGAGTAATTCGGTTCAGGTCAATTTCTGACTATTTGGAAATCACCCATTACAGCGGCTATACAGAACTGTCTGCTCATTTTACAAGTCACCACTATATTTCTGCATTGTATTTGAGCAACAGAGCACTATAGTCGATTGTTTGCATTCAAACCAATTCCAATGTTTAATTTCAAACCCGAATTGAAAAGAAACGATCTTTGAACGTTTCAAATTATGTAAATCTTTGTTGTTCTCTTATTATCTAAGTGCAAGGTTTACTATATTTAACAGAAAAGAGAAATCCGCAACAGATTAACAGAAATGACTTTTTGTACTGTCTCTGTGGTCTAGTTTCACTTACCTATCTTCTAAATGTAGCGATGCCTGTGTCATGTGCAGATGTCAAACTTGGAGCCGCAGATTAGATACAGTCTGGCGTCTGGATGCAGGACATCACTATTAAATCTGAAAGATAAATGGAAAAATAATGTTGCATTTCAAAAAGAACACTTTTTACTAAGTATTCTACTCTACCGAATAAGCAGATGAAAAACACCTATTCAATAATCGTAGTGGACCTGTCAATAACCTGCCTATTCATTATAGACTTGCTTTTAATGACTCAAGAGCTAACACTTCCAAGCGATATATTTTAGTAACAGACAATTTTGAAATATTAAGTAAGTTTACTTATTCCAATAAGTTTGTTGAGAAATCTGTACTTCCGCAATAAGCGACAGAGATCAGATCTGAAATAAAATTGTAAATGCAAAATCTACTTTGCAGATGTTTCTGTGCGTTTCATTTACTTATCCATTTATTTTAAACAAAAACAAATACGCAATACGTGATTAGAGTGTGTGAATTGTCTAGACGTGTTATATTGAAATTGATAACTGCAAAGAATATTCTGCTCTGAATATAAACAGTCTTCCGAAGAGGTATCAACAATACAAGCAAACCGATGGGGCATGCAAGTATTCAAACGTTTGGGTGTATTGTTAAAATATTGACTATGATCATTGTAAATCTTAAGTATCGTTTGGGATTTCACGTAATCTGTTTCATAGAGCAGAATTCCATGGCAAAACTATGTATTTATCGCGTTTTTTACGCCAGAAAGGAAACATGCCAACACAGTCCCGTTATACCCGGAATTAATTAGCGGGTTTATACTGGATTCACGCTGGTTTCTTTTAAGCCTGTTACATCACAATAACCAATGAACAAACATTTTTGCTCGAAATAAACGTTGCTGTCCATATGTTTAAAACAGATGACATCAGGAAAAGTAGCCTTTTTATACACTGCACAGTATCTGTTGTTTTCTAAGAAAATAAATCTGGCTTAGGTTATTTTAGCAAAAAAAAACCTACCGTTTTCAGACGGTTGGATCATTAAGTTTGCCGTAATGTATAGCTGAAGCTGGCCAGGTTGCTAGAAGTTAACGCCTGACATTTATTTTCTGTCGTTAAATACAGAAAAAGGCAACGACTACAGCGGGAACATTACAAATATTGCTCGTACCTCTATTAGGAGTAATTACTGCAGCGTCAGGAGGAACACTTTCTAAAGTGGTGTATGGTCGTTATGTAAGACGATCTCTGTCACCGGCATCTAGTGTCACTGCATTGTTGCCTGAACAAAGGTGCTCCCAGCTCGTAGAGGGCGATGAAACAGGAACGATCCGCAGGGAATGCTCACAAAATTCCACACTGAAAAATGGCTAGGAGCAGAAACAGGGATGCAGAGTGATTAAAAATATTACGAACAATTTTATGCGAATCTTAAGAGAAACACATGCATCAGTCATTACTCTACGTTTAAAACTGAACAACTCAAGTACAGTAACCGGTCGTTTTTGTTTTCAATCATTGCAGATGATCTGTGAAGATTAATGGTAGATTGCACGAGTCATTTTGGTCCAGACATGATTTTATTGCAAAATACGAAAGCGTTGGATTGTTTTATTACCGCACAGGCTATCCATAGATGAAGAGAATTACCCAGGATAACTCTTTTAGAAATTCAATAAAATTCTGCTCATATCTTTGAGAGGTAGACCAATATTGTGCTACAGAATTGTTATCAGGGTGTAATTTTGTTTTCTTCTGTTCAATTGTCACAATTTTGAAATCATACAATTAGCGTCACCTGTTGGCAGCGAAGGAAGCGGAATTGTCGACTTTGACTCACCTCTAGAATGATTCTCTCGAGCATCAGTTTTCAATTCTTCCGCAGTCTTGTGGAGAGAAGTAACTTTCAGAGATTTCAATTTTGGTCGTTTTGAACGTTTGGAGGCCCCGCAGAGCTCACTGGATAAAAAAAGGCATCAAACACCTTGCGATGTGTCTTGAATAGTTTGCAGCGAAAAAGAAATCTAACTGGCATTTTCTGTAAAGTATTTCACAACCTCACCACTTCATTGGCTGCCAAGTTCTTCAGGAAGCTCTTTTGATTTGTAGTCACTGTAGTTTCAGGATATGAAAAGTCTCAGCTAATTTGCACACAGCAATCAGCAAAAAAAGGCTGGTGTTTCACCAAAAATCGGATCTTGGCGTCATGCAGTTTGTGCACCTTAATAAAACATTTGACCTAAAAATACAACAGAAATGGCAAGTGATTTACGCCTCATCCAATCTCCTTTCTTCATTTGTGATCAAGTAAATCGAAAGATTGTTTTCCACTTGTACATAGGATTGGTATTTCTAGATAAAAGCAAAATACTGCAGACGCAGGAGATCTGAAATAAAAAGAGAGATTGATGGAGAAAACACAGCAGGTCTGGCAGTATGCAGAGAGAATCAGAGTTAATATTTTGAGAGTGAAATTAATTTTCTGACGGGACGGCAGTGCAATGCCATGTGAAATATACAGCGAGCGTCTCTTCTTCAATGTGTTCTAATCCTAGGGAAATTAAATGTTGGCAGAGTTCATTTTACAAGTCAATACTTTCTGTGCACTTGAACATTTTGGGTAAGGGAAATTCAGCATGGAAAATCGTGTGGGCCACAGGTTGGTTGCATTGACCTCTAACCCAGAATCATTTACATAAAAAGCCCTTTGCAAGGAGTTCATAAAAATATCCATGCATTCTCTGAGCTAAGTGGCAAATTATGTGCTGGCTTGTGTCAATTCTGCATTATTGGCCAGACTAAATCAGATGCACTGTTATTAATTGTTTAAAGATGTTTTGGTTGCACTTTCATTGCTGCATCAATTACAAAATCCCCATTTCCTTCTCGTAACAGTGTAAAACTTGGCACTTGCTTTAATCCAAAATATATGCATTCCAAGGTACGTGTCTGGTTGAGTTGGTGGTGTTACAGTTCACATAGGAAGTCTGAGCTGCTGTGGCAATACATACCTTTCCAGGCATGTTGTCATCTGAAACCATGGTTAATGATGACAGAATTTCCAACTTTCTTTCCATCAGATGGCAGACTGACCATGAATCTCTCCCACTCTTACCGCCTGCTGCTGACATGTGCTGAAAGGGTTTGCTGGCTGATATGTAACCTGTTTGGCCACATTATGAATACATCTTCCTTGGCTATCAAGTCCTGGTGTGAGACTCAAATCCAGACCTCTAATGCAAAGGGTGTCAACTAACCACTCCACCCCAAGATATTCACATGGAATAATTAATGACCCACACTCCACAGACCTAATGTGTGAGGGCATGCCCAATCTCTAGGTTTCAGCACCAGAACCCAATTTGTGTTCTTACAATAAAATATCTGAAGGGGGTCTCCTGTGGCACAGCAGTAGTGTCCCTACATTTGAACCAGAAAGCCCAGGTTCAAGTTCCACCTGCTCCAGAGGTGTGTCATAAAATCCCTAAACAGGTTGATTAGAGAATTTTTAAGACAACTAAAGGGGTCTGATAGAGTATAGCCCCACTATACTTCTCAAGCTCAGACAGGAAAGTAAATTGCACTTGGGTAAATCTATTTATGGGCCTGAAAGATCCCTTAAGCTGACTCCTAAGTGTTAAAATCCTTTTATTAAACTGCAAGAAGAAAACAGTTATCATGAGATATGTGTAGATAAAAAGGACTGTAGATGCTGGAGTCAATACAGTGCGGAGCTGGAGAAACACAGCAGGTCAGGCAGCATCAGAGGAGCAGGAAAGTCAATGTTTCGGATTTAGACCCTTCAACAGGACTGGGGAGAGGAAAGGGGCCTGAGAAATAAATAGAGAGAGGAGGGGTGGAGCTGGGGGCAGGTAGGCAGGATGGTGATAGGTGGATGCAGGTAGGGGGTAGTGGGAATTGGTCAGTGGGAAGGGTGGAGCGTATAGGTGGGAAAGAAGACTGTGTCAGGTCAAGGAGGTGGGGATGAGAGGATGGGTTGGACACGGAATGAGGCCAGGGATGGGGAGATTTTGAAACTGGTGAATTCTATGTTGAGGCCATCGGGCTGTAGGCTCCTGAGGCGGAACATGAGGTGTTGTTCTTCCAGTTTCCAGGTGGCAACATTGTGACACTGGAGGAGGCCCAGGATGGACATGTCACCAAGGGAGTGGGAGGGTGAGTTGAAATAGTTGGCAAGAGGAAAGTGTTGTTGATTATAGTGTACGGACCACAGATGCTCTGCGAATCAATCACCAAGTCTGCGCTTGGTCTCACCAATGTAGAGGAGGCCACATCGTGAACAATGGATATAGTAGACCAGGTTGGAGGACGTACAGTTGAACCCCTGTTGGATTTAAAAAGTTTGTCTGGGGCCTCACATTGAGGTGAGACATGTGAGCTCTAAGACACATTGGTCCACTCCTCCTCCACTCCCAATAACTCCCAACACCTTCCCAAGCAATCGCAGATGGTGTAATGCTTGCCCATTTACTCCATCTCTCCTCACTATTCAAGGCCCCAGGCACGACTTCCAGGTAAAGCAGCAACTTACTTGCACATCACTCAATCTAGTCTACTGCGTTCGCTGCTCACAATGTGGTCTGCTCGACACTGGGGAGACAAAACACAGTCTGGGTGACCACTTTGCAGAACACCTACATTCTGTCCAAAAAAAAATCCTTGAGCTTCCTGTTGCCTTCCACTTCAGCACACCACCATGGTCCCTGGCAAACCATTCTATCTCAGGCTTGCTGTAGTGGTCCAGTGAAAGCTAGCACAGGCTGGAAGAACAGCGTCTCATTTTCTGCTCGGAACCCCTGCTACCTTCTACACTCAGTACTGAGTTCAATAATTTTAGGGCCTGAGCACCTTCTCCCATGTCCTTACACCAAGCCCCACACACCGGGCCTTGTCATCACAACCAACCTATAGTCAGCTATGAATGGTCCTCATTAGCAGCTCTTGATACTCCCAGGCTGACCTTTACTCATTCCTACCCAACAATTAATCTCTTTCTCTGGGCTGCATCTCCAACTATTATTTACTCCTCCCCCATCCATACCATTTTCAGCATATATACTAACCTTTTCCCAGTTACAATCTGAAGAAGGGTCGCTGGACTCTGCTTTCTCTCCGTAGATGCTGCCAAACCTGCTGAGTTTTTCCAGCAATTTCTGCTTTTGTTTCTGATTTCTAGCATCCTCAATTCTTTGGAGGTGTTTTTGTTAACATTTTTAAAAGTTGTTTCAATTTATTATTGAGAATAAATACAACACAATCCTATAGTTCAACTCCCAAGTGTGACTATTTTCAACTGGCCATTCTGACATACCATGTGGAATGCATTGGTGTTAAACTCTATTTGAAAGTTCTGTTGTGTAGTGCAATAGTTAATGCACTGTGGCACTGAGCCATTTGTTTACTGGAGTTTAGTCAACAGTTAGCAAAGCTGTCAACAGAAGTACCTTAAATATTGTTATTGAATAGTAAACTTTAAAGTAACCCTGTAAATATTATGATTACATTTATTTAATTTTTTTTTAAAAATTGACTCCAGAATCTTCACACACTATTTTCATGTGAACAAGGGACTGTACAAAAAAATTATAGGCAAATATTTATGCCAAATTAGAAAATTATGGTTTTGTCTCTTCTAAAGTAGTTGATGTTAGATTTAAAATAATTGGTACATGGAAGCTTCACCAGAAAATAGATGCAAGGTACAGATACCCATCTTAAAAGAACCAGATAGCTGAAAATAGTCTCTCTGATATTTTGATTAAAGTGTTAAAGTCAGCAACCATGACAGACAGATACAAATTCTGCTGGGTTTCTTGCATGATAATTGTTGAGTTTATTAATATGTTCTTGGGAAATGGGCTTTGATGCCAAAGCAGAACTTATTAGTCTTCCTGAACTGTCCCCAAGGAGGTTATCGTGGGCTGTCTTCTAGAATGACTGCAGTACTCCCAGAATGCTGTTACATTGGTAGTTATAGTATTTTGGATCAACAGTGATTTAGAAAAGGTGAGATCTATCTAAATTAGGATGGTTTCTGAATTGGAGGTGTAAGGGTTCCTATGGAATTGCTGCCGTTTCTGTCTGAATGGTGGAAGTTCAGCTGAAGAAGAGAGCAACATAGGAGAGCTCAACAATGCATCTTTTAGCTACTACGCAGTACGGTCATGTAACAAGGCAATGAAAGTGCTTGTGGATGAAATTCTAACCAAATGGTCTATTTTGTTCAGGATATATCATTTCCTGTGTGCTGCAACAAAGAGGAAAAGATGTTCACAAAAAATTATGTTCTTCATTAGACGGGGTAAATAGAAGTCTATAAATGAAGAGCCGGATATATTAATGCACTTCTTATGGCTTCAGGTTGCAAAAAACACTTCACAAACCATGCTGAAGGATGAGGTAAGAGCAACAATCAGAATTGGTGAAGTACCCTGGAACACTGGGGTAGTCAGACCATACAGGACACTGCTGTTGTGATGATACTATGGCTTTAAGAGGTGTATTTTAGATCGTAGAATCCCTACTGTGTGGAAACAGGCCCTTCAGCCCAACAAGTCCACACTGCCCCTCAGAGCATCCCACCCCCCTAATCTACACATCCCTAAACATTATGGGCAATTTAGCATGGCCAATCCACCTGGCCTGCACGTCTTTGGATTGTGAGAGGAAACCAGAGCACCTGGAGGAAACCCACACAGGCACAGGGAGAATGTGCAAACTCCACACCGACCAAGGGTGGAATTGAACCCAGGTTCCTGGTGCTGTGAGGCAGCAGTGCTAACCACTGAGCCACCATGCCCTGGGTTGTTTTAAAGAGAGGTTTTGAGCCATAGATATCGAGCTGTCTATTGAACCTAATAAAGTAAACCTTGTGAGGCCTTGGAATTTTTTTTTAAAGTTGGAACAATAGAAGCAGCATGAAAGGGTGGACTCAGACTCCCACAGAACAAGGGTTTTAGTTTAACTTTCAGCAGTTGCTGGGGTTTTGAAGCTGGCTGTGGAAGCTGTCTCC